AAAAAAAAAATTAATGGGAGCAGGATAGCTACCCAACTAGTTTTTAACAATCTGTAAATCAAAACTTCTAAACGCTTATGCCTTCAGGGGGTAGACTGATCACATTAGTAAGTGAAGCTCAGATACGAGACACAGGGAGTGGTGGGTGTTGAAATCCACAGGAGGGCACATACCCATTTCAAACCGTTGTTTTTTTTAAATTGCCAAATAACAAGCAGTTTGTAGGCTGCCAGTTTGTGACCTCTGGAAAATAATGTCTCAGGTACCATGTCAGGATAATTGCCCTTGCTGATTCCCTCATGCCTGACAAGGTCTCTCCCTCAATTTTGTAATATTTTTTGTTGATTTACTTGGGAAAGTCCTCCAGCCTGCATGTTTGCTGTGGATGTCAGCCGCTAGGGAGAAGATTGCCTCCTTATCCCCAGGGAGGGACAACAGGGGCAGCCAAGCTTGGGGGTGAAGTAAAGGAGCTGAGCAAGTTGGAGTCTCTTTCTGTCAGGTCACCCTTGCTCTTTATCATGAGAGCTTGCCAAGTGTTCCTGCTTGGCTTGGTCAGGACCTAATGTCCCCGAACCAGAGATCTACAGAAAAGAGGCAAGAGAGGCAAATGTGGCTGGTGGTGGCTTCTGAAATTTATGCTTACACCATATTTAGGAACTTCCCAAACCAATTACTGGTCAGAGAACTGGCCCCTGGCCTGGATGGAGAATTGAAGCTGTCATACTCAGTGAAACCAGAGGAATGAAGAAAAGGGAAACAAACAAAAAGGCCGTCTCTTCCTCCAGCCACCACTCCTAATCCTTCCTATTCTTCTTCCTAGACCTCTCTAGTTTTTTGAGGTAGAGAAGCTTAGGGTAGAATAGACTGGGCATAAACTAGAAAAGATGAGGCTGGTTCAGGGAGAATATTCTATGGCAAATTCAGAGCCCATGGCCCAGCTAAGCAAGTGGCATGGACCCTGTACAAAGAACTTCCAAAGATCTTCAGCTCCCAGGATCCTGTAGACCAACAGCCCACTTACCTCCCAACTGGATATGCTTCAACACCCTTGAAAAAATCAAGTTTAGAAATATTATTTTTTCATTTTCATTATAAAAATTTATAAACAAAAATATAGACTATAACAAACTCCTGTGTCCTCATTATTCACCCTCAGTAACCATCAACATTCTACTACTAGTTTCATCTGTCCCTCCCCCACTTTTGTTGCTGGAGCTGTATAAAGCAAATCATAATCCATTCATTCTGCCAATAAACAATTGAAAAAGGCATATTTCAGCAGAACTACAATGCCATTGTGACATCCAGTAAGATTAACAGTAATCCCTAAAATCTAATATCCAGCCTACATTGAAATTTCTCCAATTATCTAAAAAAAAAATCTTTATGTTTGGGTTTGTTCAAATCAGCATCCAAACAAGGTCTATTTTTTTTATTATGTTTGTTCCTTTAGAAATAAATAATTTTTAAAACCAAACAGAATGGGACTGTCTTCTGCAAGCCTGCCTACAAACAGGTAAATAAATCCAATTCTACCAAGAATCAGCTGTTGTTCCCATGTGTTTTTTCATTATGGGGTCTCAGCATTAAGCAGTTAGCTCCTGAGCTTGCAGGGAGGCAGGAGTCTATCTTAGAGGGAAGCTTTAGGCTTCAAGGACAGAGAATCAGCTTCATCATAATCCTTGATTCATAACACACTATTTTTTTTTTTTGAGACAGGGTCTTGTTCTGTTGCCCAGGCAGCACACTGCAGCCTTGACCCCTGGGCTTAAGCCATCTTCTTGCCTCAGCCTCCCAAGTAGCTGGGCTGTAGGTGGGCACCACCATACCTGGCTAATTTTTTAAATTTTTAGTAGAGATGGCATCTCACTATGTTGCTCAGGCTGGTCTTGAACCCCTGGGCTTAAGCAATTATTCTGCCTTGGCCTCCCAAAGTGCTGGGATTATAGGCGTGAGCCTACCACATCTGGCCTGTTTAAAGAATTATAAAAAAGGCTATATGTAATCTTTTGTGATTTACCTTTTTCATTCAAAAATCATATTGCTAAGAAGCAATATGAGTCAACCATTCAAAAAGGGGTATTTCAACAGAACTATACTGCCATTATCACAGCCAATAAAATTGACATTTCTCCCTTACAATCTGATATCCAGTCCACATTGAAATTTCCCTAGTTATCTAAAAATTGCAGAGATGGGGTTTCACCTTGTTATATAGCTGGAGTTCATTCATTTTGGCTGCTATATGATATTCCATTGTATAGCTAAATTACAATTTATTTGTCTACATATCTAGTCATTCTTACTGCTTCTTTGTGAGATGGGTGGGTAGCACAAAGTCCTAGAGTCTGTAATGTGGGGGAAGTGCAGGGGGTGAAATTTTCATCCTGAATATCCTGTTGTTTCTGTCCTAGATACAATGTTGTTTTCAAGTACTTATTGAGCGTGCGCCGGGTGCAAGCTGAGCTGCAGCACTGCTGGGCCCTACAAATGCAGCGCAAGCACCTCAAGTCCAACCAGACTGATGCGATCAAGTGGCGCCTAAGAAATCACATGGCATTTTTGGTGGATAATCTTCAGTACTATCTCCAGGTCTGTGCTGAGAGATGAGTGGAAGGAAGGGATATGGAAACAAGCCTAGGAGATTGGCAGGGAGTATCAAAGAGGGACTACAATTTTGTATTTGATAAAATGGTGGGGTTTGAGAAAATTCAGGAGTTGTATCACACGGCATGTTTCTTAAAAAAGCATTTTACTTTATTTTGTTATTTTTTAGACAACAGGGTCTTGCTCTGTTGCCGAGGCTGGAGTGCAGTGGTGCACTCATAGCTCACTGAAGCCTCAAGCTCCTGGATTCAAGTGATCCCCCTGCCTCAGCCTCTCAAGTAGCTGTGACTACAGACACATGCCACCATGCCTAGCTTTTTAAAATTTTTTGTAAAGATGGAGTCTCACTTTATTGCCCAGGCTGGTCTCAAAATCATGGCTTCAGCCATGCACAGTGGCTCACATCTGTAATCCCAGCACTTTTAAGAGGCCAAGGCAGCCAGATCACTTGAAGTCAGGAGTTCAAGACCAGCCTGGCCAGCATGGGGAAACCCTTTCTCTACTAAAAAATACAAAAATTAGCCAGGCATGGTGATGGGCACCTGTAATCCCAGCTACTCGGGAGGCTGAGGCAGGAGAATCACTTGAACCTAGGATGCAGAGGTTGCAGTGAGCCAAGATTACACCACTGCACTCCAACCTTGGAGACAGAGCAAGACTGCAACTCTAAAAAGAATAACCAATACTAAATTTAAAAATCAATCAATGTATAAGCACAGGTAAGACATGTCTCAAAAAAAAAAAAAAGAAAAAGAAAAAGAAAGATGGGGCAGGGGATAGTGGTCAGCCAAGACATTGGAGCGGGTAAAGAATTATGCAAATAACTTCCTACAAGGGTGGGCAATATAAGAGTGTCTTTGGTTAGCCTTAAAAGTGGCTTGGCTAGAAGGAAGATGAGTTGGGGGCAAAGCATTTTCATTTCAAGTTGTCAGGCATCTTAATGCCTTTTAGTCCTTAGAATATGCAAGGTGCTAAAATTTTTGTGTAATGTCTGTCAGGTAGATGTGTTGGAGTCTCAGTTCTCCCAGCTGCTTCATCAAATCAATTCTACCCGAGACTTTGAAAGCATCCGATTGGCTCATGACCACTTCCTGAGCAATTTGCTGGCTCAATCCTTTATCCTATTGAAACCTGTAAGTAAGGCTCATTGGTTTCCTAAACTGCTTCTAGTACTGACCATTCCCTCAGGCGCTCTGAGTTGACAGGAAATGAAACTATCATTAAGCAGTTACTCATTTAAAAACATTTTTAAAGAATGTATAACGCAAAACTAAAAGGGCATGTTCAAAGGGACCTAAGATGTCTTTGAATTTCTGAAATATAGGGCGTGGTAAGCAGCTATAGATGAAAGAATTATGTGCTTAAACGCTCAGGAGTTAAACTCAAAAACCTTGCTTGACAGTACAGAGAAACCGATGAAAAGCATATGGAGTCCACCTTCTAAGAAGTCTTTTGGACCAGGATGGATCAGTCATTTGAGTTCTTTTCATAGACAAGTAGTGTTTCTCTCTGGATGTGTGTAGGTGTTTCTATAAGTACATATGTATCTCCTTCATGGCAGTTATTCTCAACTTTGGCTGCACATTGGAATCTTCAGGACCCTTCAAAAATATCTAGGTGACACAGCACTTAAATTAGAGTCCCTATAATAGTGGGATCCGGTACCAATATTTTTTAGAGCTCACAAGCTAGTTCCAATTCCAGGATAAAGAATAGGAAGATTGAAATGATCTCTTGTAGTTTCTAATGTAATGGTTATGCTTCATCTCTGACATGAGCTAGTTGTTATTCCTCAGTGTGCTATAGCACAGCTGTTACAGACCTTTTTGTTCTGGTACAGACCTTTTTGTTCTGGTGTTTAGGGCTATTTCTGCTATATGAAGAAGGGTAAGTTATATATTAATAGATGCCAGTCCAAAGGGCTGGCTGAAAATAACCAAAAGCTACTGTGATGGGTAGACGCTGTCCTTGTGTGGCACAGATGTATCTGTAGGGAAAAGCAGACTATCAGAGCAGGTCATCATCGTTAATTATTTATTGAGTGCTTACTGTATGCAAGGCACTGGGGATACAAAGAGGTATAAGTCATGGCTCTGCCCTTAAGGAGCTCACAATCTAGTTGGAAAAACAAGACATATATACATACAAAAATCATTAACAACACAGAGGCCTGAACAATTGCCAAGTGGACAACAGTACAGATCATAAAGAAGCAAGAAATGGGGGTTCACTAAAGGCTACGGTGTGGAAGGGAGGGCTTCACTGAGAGAGTGGGTAGGACCTGAACTAGTATTAAAAAGAGCATCCAGGGCAAAGGGAACAACACTCACAGCTCAGAGGCAGGAACACACTCTGCGGGTCTAAGAAACAAAGAGTTAAATGTGGCTAGAGTGGAGGTTTGCTGCAGGGCTAAGAAGGTAATACCAGCTTAGCCAGGAAGCGATGCGTTTGTTTTACACAGTTTGTGTATTTGAGGGGCTGGTAGGCCTTGCCAAGTGGCAGTGTCTATCTTCTCAGATTTGGGAGGTCAGCTACTAATTAGAATGTTCTCCCAAATCTTTAATTTCATGAAGGTACCTTCCTTCCTTTTCCTAATGCCAACTCTGTTTCCTGGGTAGGTATTTCACTGCCTGAATGAAATCCTAGACCTCTGTCACAGTTTTTGTTCGCTGGTCAGTCAGAACCTAGGCCCACTGGATGAGCGTGGAGCTGCCCAGCTGAGCATTCTCGTGAAGGTGCGTCTGCCTGGAAGTATGCAGCCTTGCCGAAAGGATAGAGGTGGTTTTGCCAATGGAGAATTCATGATCTTTCCTCTGAATCATTACAACATATCCTCAATACACACACACACACACAGAAATAGGATACAAAGATTAAAATGTTGGTATCAGTTGATTTTGAAGCAGGTAATTACTGTGCCACCTCACAGTGCTCAAAAGTAGCTCAGTCCTGAATAGTTTATTCAGCCCACCAAATAAGCACTGGCTTTGTTCTAACTTCCTCACATCCTACCCCTCCTTACTTCGTTGAACTAACTAAAGCCCATCTCACTGCGATAATTATCTGCTTGTAATCAAAACGGGTTTTCCCCAACCTCAGTACTTGACAAAATATGTTAACTGGAAACCAGCTACTAGATTCCTACTGATGAAAGCGTACTTTCATAGGAAGTCATGCATGTATGGATTTGGTACAAGTCATTTTAGGAACTAACAGAAATAGGAATGTGGGAAGGCCAGGTGGTTCTATATAATTTTGAACAAGGCTTTTCCAAGAACCCCTCCCTTCCGCCCCCATCCTCCATATGGAGAGTTGTTGAGTTGAAGTGGAATGATAACTGAGTCCTTCTGTCTGCAGGGCTTCAGCCGCCAGTCTTCACTCCTATTCAAGATTCTCTCCAGTGTTCGGAATCATCAGATCAACTCAGATTTGGCTCAACTACTGTTACGACTAGATTATAACAAATACTATACCCAGGCTGGTGGAACGCTGGGCAGGTAGGAGCAACCCTTGGGTAACTCAGTAGACTTTTTTGGGTGTCTTTTTAATGAGTTATAGAATTCTAGAGCAGGAAGGAGACTTTAGCCATGATGTAGTCCAAATACCCTCATTTTATACACGAGGCTCAGAGATAGAGTGTGACCATCTTTAATAATTTTAATGAAGATTATTTTCTAGTAAAAGTCGTCATCATCAGATGCTAAAAAACCTGACAATGAGATAGGTGTTCAGTTCTTTGCTAGGTTATATATTGCTGTGCTAGGGGTGGGTGTGTGCCTTTCATTCCCAATTCTAACATGAACTAGCTGTGCGCTGTTGGCACCCCACCTTGCTTGTCCCTAGCCTCTACATCTGTGAAAGGAGGGACCACCCTTTCTAACTCTAAACTTTAAAAAAAAAATCTGATAGTGACATTCAGTGGTAGCAGGCTTCCCAGAGGTCTGTCAGTTTTATTGACCTTTCTCTCTCTAAAATGTCCACAAGCAGATTCTTTCCTAAGCTTTTTTAGCAGAATAGTTGGGAGAAACTCGTGAGTTTTAAGATGACATTATTTAGATCACAGGTTGTCCTAATTCATATTTCTTTGAAGGTAGTATTGGGAAAGCATAATACTTAATAAGGCTTTCTTTCTTTTTTGTAGTTTCGGGATGTGAAAAGCTCTGACTCATAAACTGAAGTAACAGTAAATCCCACCTCATTCCCAAGGTTGTAACAGAAGATTCAAAACAAACATCCCATTCTAGCTACACACAAATAACTGCAGCCTAGTGGTAAGACTCTACCTATCCCTAGAAGCAGTTACTGAACATCCAGGGGTACAAATCCTTCCCATCATTCCCATGTGGAAGGGTCTGGCCGATCAAGGAGAATATGTGGCATCTCTGATACTTTACACTGAGAAAATATGCTGGATATGTTCTTTTATTTAATAGTGATTTATTGAGCACCTACTATGTGCCTTGGTACTGTTCAAGCTGTGGGAGATACAGCAGTAAACAATACAAAGCAGAAAGTTAACTATTTTATGTTTCATATGTGAACAAGTAACTGTATTTATAAACAGGTTAACTGCTGGATGTTACCACCAAGTAAGAAAGGAACAGGTAAGACAGGCTTTCTCTCTCCCTATATACCAAGTAATTTATACCTACACAGATTGGACAATTCTAGCTAATGAAAATATATTTAAAGTATTTCCTAGGTCAGGTGTGGTGGCTCACACTGTAATCCCGGCACTTTGGGAGGCCGAGGCAGGTGGATCACCTGAGGTCAGGAGTTCAAGACCAGCCTGACCAATATGATGAAACCCTGTCTCTACTAAAAATACAAAAATTAGCCAGGCGTGGTGGCATGCACCTGTAATCCCAGCTACTCAGGAGGTTGAGACAGGAGACTCACTTGAACCTGGGAGGCAGAGGTTGCAATGAGCCAAGATCACACCATTGCACTCCAGCCTGGGCAACAAGAGCGAAACTCCATCCCCCGCCCCCCCCCCACCAAAAAAAAGTATTTTTTATTCTCCAAGAAAAAGGTTCTTAAATAAAAACTGAGATCAAGTTGTTAGGTTTTTAAATACTGAAGACTGCAGGCCCAATTACCCATCTTACACAAGCCATAGGAGTTGAAGTTATCTTAATATGGCCCAGCCATCACTGGTAATATTCATATCAGTGTGAGTAAATAAATATTCGTTTAACAACTCCCTCCAAACTGAAAAAGAACGCAGTGTTCTGGCATTAGTTTATAGTCACTGAATCTGGTTTTCATCGCTACATCTTCTACACACAGTGGGAAGCTCTGACAGCCTTACTTCCTGTTATTATTATCAACTAAAGATCACCCTTTCCACTGCTGTCTCTAGAACAGGGGTTGGCAAACTATGGCCTGCTGTCTTTTTGTAAAAACATTTTTACTGAAATGCAGCCATGCCCATTTGTTTATTCATTGTCTATAGCTGCTTTCATGCTCTCACAGCAAAGGGGAGTAGTTGTGATGAATCAAATGGTCCACAAGGCCTGAAATATTTACTCTTTGGCCCTTTACAGAAAAAAAACTTGTTGACCCCTGCTTTAGAGAATGAGAAGACATAAACAGGGATGATGCTAGAGGAAGGGAAGGAATAGCTTCCAGCCATTGTGACAACAATAATACTGGGCCTCTGACTAGCACTTTTAACATTTCCAAGCGTTCTCAGTTGTGCTTCTCATGTTTATCTTACGGAAGGTCACACCATCCAGCTTATGGTCACTGTCCTTTCATGGCAGTTGGTGCTGTTGTTCTCCCTTTAGCTCTAAGAGTGGGGGGAATACCCACAGATCAGCTCTTAGTGATCTCAGCTATAAAGAGAGAAAGAGAATGAGATCTTTTTTTTTACTGTTAGGAAACCAAAGCTGTGCCCAATTCCACTCAACTTTTGGCACAACTATTAATTAATCTGGGCCATCACCTATTTTAAATTTTGTAAGCACAGCATTTTAGACATTACCTAGAATAACCAAATTTTGGCAATGAAGCCACAGAATAATGTTCACTGTAACTTTTCAATTCCCTTGGCTAGCTGACCTCCTAAAGTGAATAAGCCTATTGAAAACCTCAGACAGTACTGTTTGTCTTGACATTTGTTCTGAGATTAAGCTCAAAGAAACAGATGAAGAAATCCCAGTTACTACAACCAAAGAGATTCAACATTTATTTTATCATAAAAGTTCAGCAAATAAAACTATATACAAGATCCATGCAAGGAATCCAGTTACACACAAGACACATTTAAAACCTGGTTAAAACACAATCTCCACGATAGCAGGGAATACAACCAGTAAGACCAAATATCTTTAGTGAGAAACATAATCGTGTTTATATTTTGGATGCTGCTTGAATCCAATTCTCTCCCCAACAATGAGGCACTGGATCACCCACTCTTGTGACACCACAGGCAGCTGCAATGCTTCAGCACATTTCAGCACCGAGGCTGGGCACGAGGGGTCTGTCACCACCACATCAAATACCCCTAAAGCAATATCTGCCAGAAGCAAGGGAAAGTGAACAAGGAAAGGACACTCAATTTAGCCCTCTGTTACAAAGAGAGATGTGATTCTAGCCAATACATCCCACTCTGCACAAACCAAAGCCCATTATGTCAAACACACTGCTACTGATCATGACGAAAAGTAGAGTTATAATCACTATGTGCTGACCTTGTAAAAATATTTAACAATATACACCCAGTGCTTAACGTTGACTCCCCTCTTGAAGGTGATACTTTTCTTCTCTTAGAAACATGGATACAGTCAACCTATTAGGACTGAGCCTTGGACCACAAGGCCTGACACCTAAAGGTCTAAGGAAATCCCTGGAACAAAGACAAAGACATACACACACACTCTTTCATGTACCTTTGTTATGGGCACTTGAATGGTGCTGCTTCACAGAGGCTGCGCCACCAGTCATGAGGATCTCAGACCAGAGCTCCAGGAAGTTCTGCTGTTGGTCTGACACCAAGAGTACCTTCAGATTCTGGAAAGGATTTTCACGGGGTTGCCTATGAAAGACAGAGATAGCTCTATATAACCGGAAAGGGCCTTAGCATGACAAGTAATACCAACAAACTGCCTTTCTGCAAATGCACTCTTGTACATCTGAATGCTTTCAAAACTAGGTGTCCCATCAGGCATGGTGTCTCATGTCTGTAATCCCAGGAATTCAAGAGCAGCCCAGGCAATATGGCAAGACCCCAACTCTACAAAAAAATAACAAATTAGCCAGGTATGGTGGCAACTGCCTATAGTTCCAGCAGCTTGAGGGACTGAGGTAGGAGGATCACTTGAGCCCAGGAGGTTGAGGCTGCAGTGAGTCGTCACTATATCACTGTACTCCAAACTTGGTGACAGAGCAAGACTTCATCTCAAAAAACTGAGGCCTGTATCAGGGTCCCCCTTCTCTTCCTTCTTCCTGTGAATGACCTGTATTCTTTGTGATCCTGGCTTTCTGATTTCCTTGTGCGTTCTGGGGCTGAGAATAATCCAAATCATGCTCTGAGCCTATATTTTTAATGACTGCTTAAAACTTGATTCTCTAACCTTACAGGTTGAGAATACTGAGCCTATGTACAAATCTTCACACATTTTCAAAAGGTTCCTAGCCAATGTAACCTATGAAAATAAACTAGATAAAATGCTAAAGTTATTTCAGACCTACTCAGATTTATCCTACACATATTCCTTTCCTCCAAAGTTTGCTGCCTTCCTGTCTATACAGTTCTGGATGGGCTCTCAAATACCTACCAGTCCAGAATTCTTTGCTCCTCAAGGCTGTACCCAGCTGGCAACAGATAATTACGGTAGTTCTGGAGCTGGTTGGCATGGCAACTATCATGGACCCAGACATGAGACACACAAGGAATCCCACTGGCAAGGCACAGGAAGTACTTCCGGGTTCGACAGTGCTGATCCGCAATTAGAAGACACTGGTAAGCTGTGTTACACTGGAAGAAAAGCAGCAGAGCCAATGGGTGTGGTGACTTACGTGGAAAGCTCCTAAGTAGCAGTCATAATGAGCCATGAAGAGCAGATCTGAAGACTTGCAACTACTACGCAAAATGCGATTTAGTCTGTCTGCCCAAGGCCACTTTTCTCATGGGAAGGCCCAATCGTTCTCACTGCCTCACCTGCAGCATTCTGAGGACCTAAATCCTCAAGGGACAACCAAGACCCATAAACTCAGCCTTTCAGGCTAACAATCAGCAACACTAATAGGGGTTTCCACCACTAAACACAAATTTCAATCAACTTTTGTCCCAGCAACAGAACCACAGCCAGTAACCAACCCAAGGTCCTAACTTCTCTTCCCTACACACAACAAAAATCTTTTTCATGCAACAACATTTTGGCACTGTCTCAGTTCCTGAAATCTCTGGCTACTTTATCCAAATCCCCCAACAGCTCTCAGGCCTCTTCTCATACAGTAAGTTGACTCTTATCATTGCCACTGTGTTAGGTTACACAAAGAAACTCCTCACCTGGGCTTCATTGAAATCTTCAAGGATATAGCCAGCTCCTGCTCGAAGCTGGGATTCTGTGTACTGTTTGTTGAAAGGAGGAATTTCTAAAAATTCTATATTAAAACAAAAACAAAATAATTACTGAGTGATTGTTTTCTTATTTGCTACCTTATGCCTGCTTCTTATTGTCCCCTTTCCACTCCCCAGCTATATCCACAGCAGTGTGTCCCCAAAGACAGGCCAAGGGCCTCCCCATGGGTCAGAAAGAGATCTGTCTTGAGGCCTTTACAATGCTGCCGAAAGAAGGGACAAGAGTAGGAGGGAATGGGAAGATGAGGACTGGAGGTAGGTCCTAGACCTAAAAACATCAATGGTTCCTGTACCAGACTGTTCATAGGGATGGGCACACAATCATTTCCCACAGTGACATATTCCAACTTGAATAACCCTTACCATCAGGAAGTTCCCATTGTATCTATCCTAAATCTTTCCTGTTGCAAATTAAACCCCATTTCCTCTAGTTCTACCTTCTGTGGAAATGAATAGCTGATAAACACTTTTTATAATAAAGCTTTCATAGTCCCACTTCATCAGCCTTTTTACCCCCTTGCACACTAAAACTCAGAATGCTCAATGAAAGTATAGTTGTAAAATTTTAACTGATTAAGTGAAGGTTAGAAAATCCTGTTTCAACCTTTTTATTGAAAACTATCTACCTTTGATGATCTTGAAGTACCTCAGGACACTGAACATCAATGACTGCTCTATAGTCTTGAGGGTGAAGTAGAAGATATGTGAGATGAGGCTGAAGCTGTAATGACCCTAGGCAATTAGAAATTGCCTCTTTTGACCAAATATCTAATTTGAGCTTGTTTTCTTGTCATCTGCTCCTCTCATATATAAATAACACATTAAAAAAAAAAAAAAAAGAAAAAAGACATTAGAGATTTTAGTTAATTAGGAGTTTTGGGAAATTAAGTTCTAATTAACTGAAATTTTTATCACAAATTTTAAAACCCAACCCAATCCAGTGCATAAGGTTCAATGCTAGCACCACTCCCCTTCCCACCCAGCGATGAAACCTACTAGAGCAGATCCCTTGCAGAGACAGCTCCCCCTTCAGTGCCCTCCTTGTCTGCTGAAGCAGCCCAGGCAGTGCTGAGGCCCCATGCCAGGGCTCAACATCTCTGCTTAGTTCTGACTAGCCAGCCTATTCACGTTTATTGCTCTTTTCTTGATTCAGCATTCTCCACATTCTTCCCAAATTGAAATCTCAAAACAGAAACTCTTAATGGTTATAAGAAACTCAGTACAGCAGGGCTGTTTCTCAGCTTTGTCACAGCATCCTTTGCTATCTCAATATAGCATGCCACAATCTTCAGCACCAAGATTCTATTGCTGAGTCACTGCTGACACCCCTCACAGTCCTGTATTTTTCTCAAGACTTCTACTTTATGTCTGCTTAATTCAGGACTGATCTGTTTAGATTTTAATCCCTAATTATATTTCCTTGCATTTGTCTAGTGAAGTATTAGCCTGTCTAGGCAGTGTGTTTCTCTAATTTTTCTCAAGTAGTCCAGTTTCTTCATTTTTGAGGTATGAGTGCCCTGCCCAGCCAGATGCTAATATGAATACACTGTTAATCCCACCATCTAAATCAAGTATGAAGGTACTAAATAAACCCAACTGGAGTCAATCCCTGTGTCTAAAGCAT